GTCACCCCAGGGTGGGTGAAGGGCTCCAGATAAAGTCCACCTACCCTGCGCCCCCAAATGGTTGCCCCCAGGTCCTGGATCCCCCGGCACTGCTGCTGCCTGGGCTCCCCACTCCCAGCTCCGAGCCAGGCTACGCCTGTCTGGCTTCCCACTCCCAGCTGCACTGCACCCTGGGCTCCTGGTTCCCCGCGGACACCAAGCTCCTGACCGGGAGCCTGGCTGTGGCAGGGAGCTGAGAGCCTGGGGGAGAGTGGGCAGCTGGGCTCCTGGAGGTGGGGAGTGGGGAGCCAACAGCCCAGGGGGCAGCTGGGTTCCCGATAGGAAGCTGTGTGTGGAGCTGAGAGCCCAGGCTGTCAGCCCCCAACACTGCAAATCAGTGGAAGTTCACCACCGGCAGAAGGAGAGTAGTGTGGACATGAACCACCGCAGTAATTACTGTAAGTCAATCTAATATAGGTTGACTTAAGTTTCTAGTGTACACATGACCTGAGAGCTTAGAATTATCCCAGGAGTACCTGCATCCCTTTTTCTTTTTCACTTTCTTATGTGATTTGACTAGTCCCCAACTTGCTTCCCATTAATCACCCTTCACCACAGTTGCATCAGCTCTTGGATTAGGGATTTAGATAGATAGCGTACATTTAGTGGCACTTAAAAACAAACAAAAACCCAGGAAAGTTTAGATAGTGGTCACTCACTTAATATTTCAAAAAGGCAGAAGAACTTTGAAATCAAAGTAGCAAAAACATTTGGTCACATATTTCAGTGTCATCTGAAGCTCTGGCAAGAGCAACAACAACAAGGAGAGTCTTTAAATTGGATCTTTTTTTTTTACTTAAAGTGAATCAAATATCTTTTTAAAAACATTCTCCAGGGGAGTATTGTCTTGACTAGAAAAATAATTGCCAGGCTTTGAACCCCATTTTTAATTGTTTTGAAAACAAAACAAAAATGTTTAATCTGTTGACAAATATAAAGGACATAAATAAATAAAAATAATAAATGTTGGCAAGGTAGTGTTTGTGCAAGAATCTTTTTAATATTTATTGATTCCCTTGATATGCTGGGTGACTATGATAAATACGGAAGTAAATTTCTAACAGTCCAAATTTTCAAATAAGCCTTTAAAATGCATTCATTTGCATCAGTTTACATTACTAAGTTTACATTTGCAAGTGTGTTTGCTCATATAAAACCGTGCACACATGTTTTTCACTAGTAATTGGTGCTCCAGTGTGTACCTGTGCAGTATGCATGCAGAAATGCCCATGTAGGTGGGGAAAAATCTGGTCTTTCAGCATATGCAAAAAGATGAACTTGCAAATTTTGTAGGAGTGTTTGACAATATGGCCCCAACGGCTCAGTCATGGCCTTTTGTGTCAAAGACAGAGACATCCTTTAGGAAAGGATATAGAAATGTAAATGAAAAGGAGAATCTCAATTTTGGTTCTAATGGTTTTTAAAGTAAGTTGCTAGCCTCTTTCCTTGCAAAGACAGCATTAAAAATGTAACCCAGTCATCAGGGATGGAAAGAAGAAGCAGCTGGATTCCACTTCTGCAGCATGAGGTTCCAGGGACAGTGGGAACCTAAAGCCTCCCTCCCCCATGTCTCACATAAACAGCTTTAATATAAAATTAACTAGTGGTGTTTGGGGACTATCCCTAACAAAAGTGTCACTGCCCTCCCCAAAATTCTTAGGCTGGTGCTGTACAGAGCATAGTGACACTGATGAACAGGAATCACTAACATAGACATTAGCAAAGAATGGCTTTGCATGCCCAAGAAATGCCACTGCCTGTTGCGAGTGCACTTTGTTGCATGCAAGTGCAGTAGCTGTATCTCCAAAATATGCTACTTAGATAGGCCTTTGCAAAACAAGGAGCTTTTAAAGTTTTAACTGTGTCTGAGAGCACTCGTCCCTCAGAGAAGCAAATAAAAAACGGAAGCAAGGATTTTACAGCTTGGTTGGACCCTGTGGGGATACAGCATTTCAAAGTGGTGGCACTGTATCTCCCAGTACTTATAAAAACAGGAGATTTATCAAGATTATGATGGAGTCAATAGCTGGACAAGTCCTAGTCACACGCTCGCCTGGAAAAATAATGCTTGAGTGCAGCTGTATAAATATGTACCAAATCTGCTTATCAGATTTCGGATAGCAGGGCATTTTACAAAGTGGATGTAGTAGAGGAGATATTCTAGCAGCCATGAAATTTCAGTGTAATGTCCTGTTTCAGCAAAGCACTTAAATATGTGCTTAGCTTTAAATATGTGCCCAAGTCCCACTGATAGTGCTTAAAGTTAAACATATACTTAAGTGATGTGCTGAATACACACCACAATGAGGAAATAGCTAGCAAGAACTCTTTATCAGGATATCTCAAGACACGTTTATGTGTGTGAGAAGGGAAGGTACATGAGAAAGGAGAGCATGTCTCTGTGTTGCTGATTTTTTAAGCTTAGAAAAGAAAACAAACTCTCTAGTAATCATTTGTATTTTAAAGAAACCCTACCCATCCAGACAAAATAGTTGATTTTAAATTTTTATGAATTGTCATAAAGTAATTATTAATTCTTTAGAGGTGATCTAAATTAGAATTTCTTCCCACAGAAAATTCTGATATTTTGACATTTGTATTCATCCCAAATCATGATAAAAATTAAAAATATCATATTTTGTGCTGAACAAAATTTTGAAAGATTTCAATTCAGAACTGTCAGAATGTTTAAATTGGGCTCCATTTAATTTTGAACTGTCACTAAGCTGCCATGGTGCCTTATGGGAGTTGTAGTTTGTGTGCATCATGATGTATGGGCCAGGTTCTCTATTTGGACTACATCTCCCATAATGCTCTCTCGTTATGGATTTTCATGGCACACTGTCACCGTTCAATCAGAGGAGACACTATCGTGCACCATGGGAGATATAATCTGGCAAGAGCTCCTGGGCAATAGGAGAGAATAGGGGCATGCAGCACCTGAACTACAAATTCTATTTGGCTTTAGGACATTTAGGCAGATACAGATTAATTTTGAACTGACCTAAAATGAAAAGTCAACCAACATGTTTTGATGTGGAATGATGCAATTTGAAACTATTTTTTTCTGTTAAACACATTCTGATGGAAAATTCCTGACCAGTGCTATGATCCATAAATATAAAATGCAAGGGTCAGTTTTCATCTCATGGATTTGTACATGCATGTCCATGTACTCACACGTACAAACATGCAATATACAATCAAATACAAATGCAGAGGTGAAAGTAAGCTGGTCTGGTCCGGCGTACCGGCAAGAAAGTGCGAACCGTACTGGCAGGGCCATTGATGAGGGCGGGGGGCAAAAGGGGCAGCTGCCCCGGGGCCCAGCAATTTAAAAGGGCCCTGGATTCCTGGCAGCAGCTGGAGCCCCAGGGCTCCTGGCCCATGCTGCCACTACCCCAGGGCTCTGGTGCTGATTTAAAGGGCCCGGGACTCCCGGCCACCGCTGCCTCTACCACACCAGTGGCTGGAGCCCTGGGCCCTTTAAATTGCCGCTGGATTCCCCACGGTTCCCAGCTGATGCCGCTGCTATCCTGGGGCTACAGTGGCCATTTAAAGGGCCTATGGTTCTGGCTGCCATTGCTGCTAACGCACCTGTGGCCGGAGCCCCAGTGCCTTTAAATCACTTCCAAAGCCCCGGGCGGCACAGGCTGGGCAGCGCTGAAGAGCTGACTGCGGGACTTTGTCCCCAGCCCCGCCCCTTCCAGGAGCCTAGAGCTCCCCCCCCTGCCTTGCCTAGGACCCCTGCTGCCCTGTGTACCGGTAAGTCATTTAAGTTACTTTCACTCCTGTACAAATGTAATTATAACTGAGTGCAGAATAAAAAGTCTGCAACGGTCTCTGACTGCGAATCACACTGAATGTGCATTAATCCATTAGAAAACCCATAATTTTTTAATTTGACATTTTTCCGTTAAAAAAAAGAGGCAGAGGAATTATGCTCTACTAATGCTAATGATCTGAAACATGTTTTTCAAATCCAAGTCTTTGTTTCCTGAATCCCCTTTTCTCAGAGGCCCTGCTTCATTCAGGCACACAAGTCTGCATGTAACTGCATTTTGCATCTGAAGAAGTGGGTTTTTTACCCACAAAAGCTTATGCCCAAATAAATCTGTTAGTCTTTAAGGTGCCACCGGATTCCTTGCTATTTTTGTGAATACAGACTAACACGGCTACCCCTCTGATACTTTGTAACTAGTTTAAACATTTGACTAGCTCCGTAGACTTCAATGGCCAAACTCATCACATGCTTTAAGTTACCTATTTGCTTAAGTACTGTGCTGAATCAGGGCCATGTTCCATTCTTCTCTGTTCATTTGCACTTTTTGCATTCTCCTTGCCTCTCTTCTGCCTTCTGTCTTTGTTTTCTTTATTTCTCACCTTGTTCTCTTTTCTGTTTGATCTTTCCTCTCCTCTCCCTTCCTCAATTCCATGGCTTATTTTAAACATGTCTGACGGCCAGACCATTCCTCCTTCTCTGCCCCCAAATTAATATCTGCTTTGTGGTAGCAGGAAAGAGCATTTTACTGAGGGGACTAATCCAAAACCCACTGAAGTCAATGGGTTGTCTACACTGCAATAAAAGATCTGCAGCATGTCCATGGCTGGCTCAGGCTCACGGGCTCAGGCAGTGGGGTTATAAAATTGCAGTGTAGGTGTTTGGGCTTGGCCTGGAGCCTGGGCTTGGAGAGGTTGTCTACACTGCATTTTTATAACCCCACTGCCTGAGCCCGTGAGCCTGAGCCAGCCACGGACATGCTGCAGATCTTTTACTGCAGTGTAGACAACCCATTGGCTTCAGTGGGTTTTGGATTAGTCCCCTCAGTAAAATGCTTTTCCCTTTTTTTATAGCTCCACAGCCTGAGCCTCATGAACCCACGTCAACTGACCTGTGCTCTGAGACTCAGTGCCACAGGCTTTTTATCACAGTGTAGACATACTCAGTGAGAGTCTTCCCACTGACTTCAGTGGGTTTTGAATCAGGCCCTAGATGGAGAGTTTTCTGACATGCCTGCTTAGTCTGGGGAAAGAGTGCTGTTGTTCCCGGTGTGCATTCTAACAGTGACACTCCAACTGCATAGAAAAAATTGGAAAGAACAAAAATATTGCAATCTACAAGTTTACAGAGCCCATAATTTTGCACTAGCTGTTATCATACAGCTTCCAAGGCAGAGAGATTACTCATACCTACCTTCCTTCCTTCAGCCATCTGGTTTTTCCTCAATTAGCTATACAATTTAATGGACATTTTTTTTAAAATCATGATACAATGCTGAGTAAACAGTTCCATGAAAGCCATGCTTTGTTTCTAGTTGCAAAAACATTCTAACACCTTTCCATCACCTTTATTCAAAAATTTTAGTAACCACCAGTAGATGTTAATATATCATATTGACCCTTCATAGACAGTTAATCTCTGTGTGTTTATTTTGATCTATCTGGTTACTTTTACTGCTGTATTCTGCACACAAGTATATACCAGGTCAGCCTAGGGCGCCATTGATAATGCTTGCCAACTACTTTATACTTGAGAACTTTGACCCTTTTATAATATGTGTCTTCAAAGGAATACACCACAAAGTGCTGTTAGTTACAATCAATGGAAAATTGGCAAATCTGTGGTGTTTTTCATAAGCAAGTGTTTTGGGGGATTCTTTGTTAAGATCCACTTTCAACACAAGTAAAAAATAAATCGATCACATTTTAAATTTGATTCCATGAGGATTTTTTTTGTGTTATGTAAATGAAATGATTGGGATTCAGGGGAAATACTAAAACATCCCAGAATGTAAAGCTTAACAGTTTTTCATAATTTTTACCAACTTCTTCATTGACCCTTGAACAACACACATTTGTTCTTTTTCTTAGATACAATATTTTCAAAGTATTGCCATTGTCGAAAACATCATTTTTTGCTAAAAACACAGCTTCAAGGATCTGAGTAAGATCATGTGCAAATAATAGACTTTTCAGCCATTATAATAATCAATGCAATATAAGCAAATCAACAGATGTTAGCATCTTACATTTGAGCTATCAATATACATGGTTCAGAGAGGGAAAAACAACTCTAAAGGTGAATACAAAGCAGACAGCATAAATCACGGCAAAAACTTAATCTAGCATGCTTTAAAGCCAATTATATTTTTAATACACTTTATCCTCAGTAGGCCCTCAAGAGGCATACACATAATGTTGGAACTTTCATTAGGATTCAAAAAATGACTTTAAATCTTTCAGTGGCAAATATTTCTAATCATTTGTAAATTTAATTAGTGAGCACCCATGTTTGATTAGCATATTTCTGAATATGATCATACACTAAAACCAGCACCTCAACACTTTGTCAGATGAACTCTAACCTCTCTTTGGTTCTCAACATGGCATGCCTGTAAATGAAAATTCATATATGGAACATCACAGTATATTTCTCTCTATATTACTGGAAATGCATATGCTTTAGATTTTCTTTGTTTTATTTCCTGCCTGTTCACATTCTGACATGCTTCTGCATATAAAAGATGTGACTAGTCACAAATCATATAATTTAATCATATAATCACGTATCTGAAAAAACACTGATTTAGTAAATGGTGCTCCATACTTATTTCATGGTGTCCATCTAATTGTACAGCAGCTTTATCTCATTAATTACAAGCTCGTCAAAACACTTATTGATTGCTGTTGAAGTAAATATCAAGATTTATTGATTCAAAGGGTAAAAAGACTGACCAAGGTGATGAGACAATAGGCACAATAACAAGTGTGACATCGGTATATGTATAAATTCAGAATGCTTTTATCTAAGCTATTTGGAAATCTCTTCATCTAAAGTCATTTAACGTATTCAGTTTCCATCAATTCTCCCTTTAAATTAACATTCTAAAGAGATGAAGATGAAGATCCAGAAAAAGCTGATATTCACCTCTAGTGAGTCTGTCAAGAAGCAAAAATGTGTATAAGCTATCTGATTGGCTCATCAGAATTAAATAGTAGTTTTCAAGGAGTGCAGAGACAGGTAATCAGGATAAACTCATTTGCCTATATTGTTCAGTTCCTTGGGAAGAAGTGAAGGATAAAAACATGATTACACATCAGATGACTGTTTTTGGCCCATCATGAGCCTAGATTTTTTTCTCCTGCATGTAATAATTTTCAATGGTACTTTTTGATATATCAATCTTGTGTATTGTTCATAACAAAATGTGAACACAACCAAGATAGATATTCTTTAAAATAAATGCATAAGTAGTGAAGTAGGATTTATTAGTGACAGCTAATAATTAAAAAACATAAACCTAGATTATTTTAATTTTAATAGATTATAACTATTATATCACTAAATGTCTTGTGCTATCCACTTAATTTTGTTCTAGTCTCATCCAGGATACACTTGGATATCATAAACAAATTGTTGACATTGAAGACCATGACATCTCACAACTGCTTCAGGTTGTATCACATAAATATAAGCAAAAGGGAAAACAGGGTATATCCTTTTGGGACTTTGGAGATGCAAGATGTTGGCAGATGTCACATGTTGGCACATGTTGTTAGAGCTGATTTGTCCGCTATTTTCTCAATGGCTTTGCCTTTGGATGGGAAACTGGAGACAAGGCAGTAGCTGGAGAGATTTTTTGCACTACATGTTGGATTTCTGAGGATTGCCTGGACTATTACACTCTTCAGTGAGGATAGCAGGTTCATTTCTCTGAATTAGACCTTCATCATTGGCTTTCAGCCAGTTAAAGGATCATGGATCTGTTTCAAAATTAGTGCCTTAAATATTCCTCAGTTTCAGCCTTCAGTTTATGTGATAGGGCCAAACTAAGTCAGGATGGCAGGGAAATTAGTGCCATGTGATCTGGCTTAGAGTATTCTGCATAGAGTTCAACTCATGTTCAGTTGATCTTTTGTGCCAAGCAGATGAGAGCTCTTTGAGCATAAAGAACATAAGAATGGCCATTCTGGGTCAGGTCAGGGGTCCATCTAGTCCTGCATCTTGTCTTCTGAAGTGGCTGGTGCCAGATGCTTTAGAGGGAATGAACAGAACAGGGCAATTACTGAATGATCCACCTCCTGTCTTCTAGTCCCAGCTTCTGGCATTCAGAGATTTAGGGACAGCCAGACATCCAGACATCTTGGCTAATAGACATCAATGGGCCTACTATGACAGGTTGGATCACAGAAACCCCTTTGGGGCTGCCAACTGATGTGCCAAGACTACTTTTGCCCCTGCTTTCCCTGCCTGCTTGGGACTCTAGCACCCTGTCTTGTTGAGTCGGACATGCCAGTCTGCTCCAACACAGACCCAGGGTCTGAACCATGTGCCCCCAAAGCTACAGACTTAACTGAAAGCAACTTAAGAAGTGTTCCTGTCTTTAACACTCAGATGCTCAACTCCCAATGGGGTCCAAACCTCAAATAAATCTGTTTTACCCTGTATAAAGTTTATACAGGGTAAACTCATAAATTGTTCACCCTCTATAACACTGATAGAGAGATATGCACGGCTGTTTGCCCCCTCTCCAGGTATTAATACATACTCTGGGTTAATTAATAAGTAAAAAGTGATTTTATTAAATACAGAAAGTAAGATTTAACTGGTTCCAAGTAATAGCAGACAAAACAAAGTGAATTACCAAGCAAAATAAAATAAAACATGCAACTCTAAACCTCATACAGTAAGAAAACTGAATACAGATAAAATCTCACCTTCAGAGATGTTTCAATAAGCTTCTATCACAGACTGGACACCTTCCTACTCTGGGCACAATCCTTTCCCCTGGTACAGTCCTTGTTCCAGCTCAGGTGGTAGCTCATGATTGCAGCCTCTTTTGTTCCGTTCCACCCACTTATATATCTTTTGCATAAGGCGGGAGTCCTTTGTCCCTCTCTGGGTTCCCGTCCCTCCTTCTCAATGGAAAAGCACCAGGTTAAAGATGGATTCCAGTTCAGGTGACATGATCACATGTCACTGTAAGACTTCATTACCCACTTGCAATCACACACGTATACAGGAAGACTTACAAGTAAAACAGAGCCATCTATAGTCAATTGTCCTGGTTAATGGGAGCCATCAAGATTCCAAACCACCATTAATAGCCCACACTTTGCATAATTATAATAGGCCCTCAGAGTTATATTTCATATTTCTAGTTTCAGCTACAAGAGTGACCACACTCAGTAGATTATAAGCTTTGTAACGATACCTTACAAGAGACCTTTTGCATGATGCATATTTTAGTTATATTATGTTCACACTCATCAGCATACTTTCATAAAATCATATAGAGTGCAACGTCACACCTACCCTCCATGAATTTACCTAATTCTTTTTTGTACCCGGTTATACTTTTGGCTTTCACAACATCCCCTGGCAATGAGCTCCACAGATTGAGTGTGCATTATGTGACGATGTACTTCCCTATGTTGGTTTTAAACCTACTGCCTATTAACTTAATTGGGTTAACCCAGGTTCTTATGTTATAGGAAGAGGCAAATAACACTTCCCTATTTACTCTCTTCACACCTTCATGATTGTATAGACCCCCTTAGTCAGCTCTTTTCTAAGATGAACAGTCCCCCTCTTTTTAATCTCTCCACACATGGAACCTGTTCCACAACCCTAATATTTTTATTGCCCTTCTCTGTACTTTTACCAATTCTAATATATTTTTTTGAGATGAGGCAACCAGAAATTCTTGTAGAACTCAAGGGGTGGGAATACCATGGATTTAGATAGAAGCACTAGTATATTTTCTGTCTTATTATCTATCCCTTATCTAATGGTTCCTAACATTCTATTAGCTTTTTTGAAGGCTGCTATACATTGAGTGGATATTTTCAGAAAATTATCCAAAATGACTCCAGAATAATTGGAATTATGTTTTCCAATGTGCATTATTTTACATTTATCAACATTGAATTTCATCTGCCATTTTCCTTGTCCAGTCACACAGTTTTGTGAGATCCTTTTGTAACTCTTCACAGTCAGCTTTGGACTTGACTACCTTGAATAATTTTGTATCATCTGCAGATTTTGCCCCATCATCGTTTACCCCCTTTTCCAGATCATTTATGAATGTGTTGAACAGCACTGGTCCCAGTACAGGTCTTTGGGGGACCCCAGTATTTACTTCTCTCCATTGTGAAAACTGAACATTTATTCCTTCCATTTGTCTCCTATTTTTTAAACAGTTACTGAACCATGAGAGGATCTTCCCTCTTATCCCATGACAGCTTACTTTGCTTAAGAGCCTTTTGTGAGAGACCGTGTAGTAGTTTGAGGCTCTACAATGGTGTTTTTAAAACGTTTCCATGCAGCTTGCAGGCATTTCACTCTTGTGACTGTTCCTTTTAATTTCTATTTAACTAACCTCCTAATTTTTCTGTAGTTCTCCTTTCTGAAGTTAAATGCTAATGTGGTGGGTTTCTTTGGTATTCCTCTCCCCCCCCCAAGGCTGTTAATTTAATTACATCATGGTCACCGTTACAAAATGGTTCAGCTACATTCATCACTTAGACCAGATCCTGTGCTCTCCCCTTGTGAGTTCTTGGACTTGCTGCTCCAAGAAACAGTCATTAATGGTGTATAGAAAAGCAGCTGATGCTTTAGTTTGATGTCATCTTCAAATTTATTACCTGATTGCTCTTAGCTTTATTAAAATTTTAATTAGGATGAGTAACCATACGTGCAGTGGTACTACTAAGAAGCCTTCTCTCTCAATGAGTTGACAGTTTTTTGGACGGTCTTACACAGTGAAGTTATTAGTTTTATTCTAAAGATTCTTTAAAACTTCTGTTTTCTCTCATTTTGCTTGACATTTGAAGATGGCTACAAGATTATGTGACTTTAACAAGGACGGTGAGATCTCTGGCACATATGGATTGCACTGTACTTTCTTTTTTCACATAGTAATTGTCATAAAAATGGGTTCATATTGTGGTATTTCATAGACTTGTTAAAATTATCTGAACAAAAATGAGGAAGCACAAGAAGTAATACTGCTTCAAATATTCTTGGGAAGGTCATAGTAAATTCTATGTCTTTGACCTATTCAATGTTTTATAATCTGGTATGCTAGCCATTTTCATTCTCCTTTATTTTTAGCCTCAGTACCCTAGGAGGGGAATGTAAAATGGCCAGTCCATGAATACACATAATAATGAGAAGGTGAACATTTTCAGGGAACAGGGAGAATATTTTGTGGAAAAGATGCTCGTCTTAACATGTGCTTCTGCTCTGAAAAGTGTCTCTGTAAATGGACCTTTACACTTATTGTCTCTCAGTGGCTTCCAATGATTCAATAGTACTGTTCATGTGCCTAAAATTAAACATGTATGTTTTCAGGATTATGCCTTAGTTCACAATTCCATTAAGGATGCACAAACCACAGTAGACTCCAGCTGACTTGTGTTGGCTCTGAAGTGGGAATAAAAGATTAGTAGAATAAATAAATTTGACTAAAGTTAGCAAATAGAACTACTCGAAAGACCCACAGAGTACATCTAATGAGTAAAACAGTACCGTGTTTATTTAGTCATTTTCAGAGAAGAAATGTGCTTTAATCACTCATTGTTTTTATTTATCTGCAAGCACTCCAGTCCCAATAGTGAATACTTCTGAGCATCACATTAAAGCCTTGAAAGATCTTATTCACTGCTTCTATGACATCATTCCCAGAAGTACTTTGCCTTCCTTTTCACAGACTACAATGAACTAATTGAACTGTGATGCCTCATCCTCATGGAAAGGACAGTAGTGAGAACAAAAACATGACTCCACATGAATCCATTCTCATGACAATCATTCTCGTGAGATTGGGAAAACGTGATCTTGTTACAGTCCTACAACTCTGACCTCATAGTCCCCTCTGCATGCTTTATTCCAGATTGTTGTTCTGCCATACTGATTTTCTTAAACTAGGCTCCTGACAAAGGCTACAGACTATTCCATTACAAACATGTTGTGAAAATGCAATGACAGGGCAGACACTGAAATGCCATTGAAGGAACTGTACTGATATGTTTTCATAGATGCTAAAATTCTGAGATGGAAATGAAACTTTTTCTTTTATGTCAGAGAGCCAGAGAATAAACATCATTCTGCAGAAGAATCTTTAACATGCTGAATATCAAGGGATTAAGATGAATAAAGGCATTCAACACAGTTGTTGATTTTATTTGTTTCATCCTGTGTAGCAGTTCTCTCAATGCTAAATATTAAAGATACATAACAGTATCTATTCTTATTCATATTTGCCATGATATAAAGACCATAATCTTTTAAATATCTCTTCATATGGAAGTTTTTCTCCACTCCTAAGTATTTCCATCTCTGTCCCCTATTTCTGTTATCAGGTGACCCAAAATGAACAAGATATTCCAAGTGAGAGTGGTCCAGTGAGTTATATAATGGCATTATAATATTTTGAGCATTAGCTCCATCCTATCCTTATGTATTCCAACATTATGTTTGGATCTCTACTTTTGGCAATCTCAACTGATGACACTATGTCAAATCTATTACCTGGAAATAACTAGTCCAGGTTAGGTATCTCCCTAATATCTTTTGTAGTGAAGACTCATGAAAAAAAAATTAGACTCCTTCATTTCTCCCATTATTCCTTTGTAGACCAGTGGACCTACCCATTCTTCTGCAGGCTTCCTGCCTACAATATACATAAAGACTTTCTTATTTTATTTTATATCTTTGGCTATTTGCTCTTCAAATTCTGTTGTAAGCCTCCTAATTCCTATTTTACATATTATCTGCTATTGTTTATGCTCCTTTATATTGGCTTCACTAGGGTTGGATTTTCACTTTCCGTTTGGCTCTCATAACTCCAGGGCCCTTGCTGTTCAGCTGTTGAGGTTTATTTCTTGCCTTTCTGTTTCATTTTATGGGTAGAGGTATGCTTGCCTTCTGTGACTCTGTTAAGGTATATTTACGAAACCTCCATGTTGTGTCTAAGAATTTTTATTTCCTTACTTTTGACTCCAGGTCTCACTTTGACTAGCCTCCTCATTTTTTAAAAGTCCTTTTTTCTAACGTTTATTGTCACCATGCATTTTTTGGATACCTTTCCTTCCTCAGAGATGTTGAACTTAATTACACTGTGATCACTGTAACATAGTGGCTCAACTATAGTTTCTTCTTGAACCTAATCACGTGTTACTCAGGACTAGGTTGCAAATTTTAAGTAAATCCTGCATGCTGTAAAAATTCAGTCTCAGTCATGGTTTGAATGCAAAATACCTGGGGTTCAGGATAATATAATTACCTCTGCATACCTGCCTCTGAAGCAGGCTGTGAGACAGAAGCAGCAGGAAGGAGACTGCTGGAATGGTGTGGAGAAGGAAGCAGATTCCAAGCCTTTCACTCAAAACTCTTACACTTGTCAGACATTTGACTTCCTTATTCCTCTTTTAATCTTATTCTGTTTTAATCTTGCGTTTGCTATCTTATATCTTATGTATCTTTAATATTTATATCTTCTTGCTTTTGCTCTCTTATATCTTCAGAAATGTCATCTAACAGTTCCTGGAAAGGAAGATGACAAACAAGAAGGAAAAGAAAGCACTTCCCTGGAAAATCAGTCTATAAGCATTCCCCAGGAAATAACCAATATTAGTAATCAGTGCTAAGAGGTCGCTGGTGGCAGCCATGTTGGTTTGTGCCACTAGTGGTGTAGGGGACTTAAGACTGTGAATAACACTGCCACATGATTTGATATATAGCATTAAATCTTTCCAGGATTTGATACTTTCTAAAAGATGTCCAAACATCCAGAGAAAGAGGGCCTTTTCTGGGGGGGGGGGGGGACAAATACTTTGATGGAATTAAGCAGAGGAAACTCCATAACATGGAGGCTCCCAGACTCATCCTATGTAGCTTTTTCCATGGAAGGGCAGGATTGGGCCCATAATACTTAAATTATGCAAATGTTCTAATAAGTCAGCATTATTTAAAATTTAAAATACAGCTGTAGCTGCACATCCAATGCCCTGGTGCCTCTCCCATAAATTAAAAATTGCACCATAAATAAATGGCTGCCCACAAAAAATGTCTAGCACAGCTCACACGCTCCTCAATAGCCTTCGCAAAGAATGAAAAAAGCTGGCCTTTTCAGCATGCCCATAAGATTACCTAATCAGGGCTCTGGAGAACTAAGATGGCATTAGGCCATCACATGGGTCTCTGTTGGCCTGGGTTTAATTTCCCCATAAACTGCTGTCTTTAAGGTCACTGAGTTACAAGTAGCTTCTATGACTGTCCCGCCATTTCCACATGGAAAAATTCTTAGTTATTTCTTTCACTTTCAAATTTTAGTAATAGTTTTAACTGTGACAGCCCTGCTTCTACAAACCTATGGTTAACAACTGGGTAATTGCTAAGGTCAAGGGGCTAAGCAGGGAGTATTCATTTCAGTAGACTACTACTTTGAAGAATATAGTAATGACTCCCTAAGTCCTTCCACAGCTCCATCCCAGTTCTGTACAGTTTGTGTATTCACACTTCCATGTTAAGGCACGTCACTTCCTTGGCAAGGTACAGCAGTTTGGGAGGAAGTATAGCAAGATGGGCAAAGTTGCACACTGGCATCTAGAGTCTGTCCTAGTCAAGCTGTGGGGTGGTGCCAGAGTAAAACTAGTTTTGTGCCACCTTTGCAGACCTCTGATCCTGGCAGCAGCTAAGGCCTTCATTAAGCTGCCCACATCCTGCAGAAGCTATTCCAGCAGAGAGGAGGGGGTATCATTAGAGCACAATGACCCTCTCGGCACAACCTTTCCCTCCCAGGAATGCCCTCTGCATCATGGACTTGCAGAGAGGTTGCTATACTGGCTTTCTACCACCTAGGGATTTCCCCTCAAGATTCTCCCACTGTAGAGACCTGTATCTGTTGAGTTTCTTGATGCTTTATGCCAGCAGTATGTTGCAATGCAGCCAGAGAAAACATGAGAGTCAGGCCCACCATCTCAGGCCTTGCCACAGAGGGAGGTCAATTGAGTGTGTCTTCATAGGGTGCCCAGACATGTTTGCATTGGCCCTGATTATTACAACGCCTCTCGGTTCCAAACTGCAATATCTTTTTCTTCCCATCTTACCTCCACTGCTATTCCAGTTTGGGGCTGCCCTTGAAGAGATCCTGACAATTGTGCTGAAGTGTGAGACAATTTTGACATATTTACTATTGGGAACTCTGAAAAGAATACCCAACTCATTTCCACTTGCAACCTAAGACAGGGTGTACATGCGTTTCAGGTGTTGGGTTTCATGTGCAGGCACTGGATAGTATTGGCGGCTTTGCTGTAAGAAGGTCAGATGATCTAGTTGTCTCTTCTGGCTTTAAACTTTATGACTCTATATAATTCAAATAGAGAATAGCCTACAAAGAACACACTAGGACTAGCAAGTATTTCTGAAGTAATAGCTTGGGTAAAAGCTCATCTAGAAGTTTTTAAAATGAACTGCTGAGTGATTATAAATCTCTTATCTTAGAAGATGTTAAGAAGCGGGAGTCTTGTAATTCAGTTTTTTAGATGGTACCATTTTAAGATAGCATGAGAAAAGGGCCACAACTAAATTAGAAATAGAAAATATAACAAAGAGTCAAATACAAGATACTTCTCTGACCAAGCCTTGAGAAATATGCTAATTAAGATGAATGGAGAAAGCAAAAAAGACAGAGTGATCTTGTCTATGCCACACAGCTTTCTTTGGTGGATGAAGAACATTATAGACAAAAGAAATGGTTTGAAATCTTTACTTTAGCTTCAGGAGACAATGGCAAACAGTACGTTTTAGATCTTTTAAGGCCATGTAAGGTAGACAAAAGAGAATCACTCTCAATAAAGGGATAAATCTTCACAATGTGTATGTACTACACAGATGAAAGATACACCTCAAATTTCCAGCTGAGCCCTGGCTCTTTCAAGTCATGAACTTCATCTCAGGCGGTCTCTAGGAAGAAATGATAGGCTGGACCATCACACAGAGATGTATCATCCATGTCACTAATTGTAACAATTTTCTAGGTATGTTCACTCATGCAGATGCCCCAAAGAGTAAGCAGCTTTGAGAAGTCTGGGTTTGATTAAGATGGAATTATGGCAAGGTAGGTAGGTCTTTTTGTCCATTATAAAATGGCACAAACATTAGTCACTAAAATGGATGGACATGTCAAGCAGTTTACATGTTAACTATAGAACAATTGCCTCTCTGTTTAACATCATCAGTGAAAACTTGCAGAATTAATAGATCTCTCAGAATTACAGCTCATTGGGGATTATCAGTGTGACCGGGCATCTGGGATGGACCACACTGAGAATGCCACATCTAGGGCAGACTGCGAGGAATAGGGCAGACAATCCCCCTAAATTGGTCATTTATTCTATAATTAGATTCACCAAGCCAGTAAGAAAAGAGCCTCTGTAGTACCACACTGGTTAACAAGAAGCCAAACACAGTCTCTTTTAGACATTCCAACCCTTGGCTCCCATCCAGACAAATTGGTCTAATATAGTGAGAAGTTATTGAAAACCCTATTTGCCATATTTAAAATTCTACTAATCCCAAAGGATCAGACACTTACCTTCTGGTCAATATATGTCTCAGATCTTACCCAAATATCACACTGTCAGCCAATCCTTAGTAAACCAACTAAAAATGTATTAAGAAAAGAGGAGAGTTATTGAGTGGTTAAAAGATTATATACTGTACATTACAAATGCTTGCAAGGTCCTTACATCAGATTTGTTGCAGCGATGGATGAGTCTGCTGGCTTGCAAAAGTCTCTCTGGAATCATCCTAAAAGGTCAGACTCCAAATGCAGCTTAGATGTAAAGTCTGTTAATGTCTTTCCAGGCATTTTCCTGGATATTCCAAACAGCTACTTGGAAGATTTCAGTCCCATGGCTTAAACTTTTCCTGTTTAAAGTTCAACAGACGAGAGATGCTGGATCAGGGCCAAGGTTTCACTTTTATAGCTGAAGCGGGCTATTAAGTGTTTTGAGGATTTTTCCTCTTTGTTGAGCACACACTGCCCACCACTTTGAAGCTAACATTCAATTTCCTATGCATACACAGGTAATCTAGTTACACTTATTTGCATAAATCAATTAGCTGGTTCTTCATTATAACAGAGATAGATAAGCTGAAGACAATGTAGACAATATTATTAGTTTCTGGCAGTATCTCACATTTTGATCTTCAAGTTAACTGATCACAGTCACATACATAATGTAAGGCAATTAAAAAATGAAAAGGATTTAGCAGCTAAAATCTAATCTGGTTAGGTAAACTTCTAACAGGATACAGGTACACAGACAAACAAATTTAGCATCTATCCTTGATTTCTATTACTATAAATGAATGGGTTAATGATTGCTGGACTAGTACATCTCTTTGATATTCATATACAATTATCCTGATACAATTGTAATGCCTCTTGTTAAATTGTTATGGGTCAGACACAGGTTGGCTGTCTGCCAGTGTCACAGTTATTATTCAGATTGGTAAAACAAAGGTATCTGAAGGGATTCTGACGTACTTCAGAATTATATATGCAAATTTCAGCTGAAGTGCAACCTTAAGTTTGTACCAGTACAGGATAGTGAGACACTGCTGAAAAAACAGAGGAAATGAGCCTATCTAGCACAACTTGATTTTGAAACTTAAAACTGTAGGTTTCTGATGGTGTTAAAGTGTGTGTGTGTGTGTAGTTAAAAAAGGGCTAACCAAGAATTACAAACATGGCAAATACATGTAAAACCTGAGCATTAAACATAATGTTAGGGGAAAGACAAGTTTCCCTTGCAGTATAAGAATGATGTATTGCTCTTATGGCAATATATTATTACACTATCGTTTTGATTATTGTAAGCCAGACTTCTTTCTTAACTGCCAGTGCCTATGAGGCTTGTAACTCAGGCTGAACCAAACATTACATGCATTCTCTATGGACCAAATGTAACCCCAAACCAACACAGGTATGTTTCTGTATTTACGGAGTTACAGTTCAGTTTCTGTTTCATATTATATTTAAAGATTTGTAACTTGGATTTTGTTTTTAGTTTGTGTTTTATTTTCAGTTTTCAGTACTTAAAATATTTACTGCACCAAAGTCTTATGTGTATATAAAAATAAAAGGTATGCCAAAGAACAATCTGTAATACAAATTTAAAGGATAAGATTTTCCACTGCCCGGAAAACAATACCTCCTCCCATGGGTAACAGTCCAAAGAAAACAAGCAGCTGGTCCCCAAAAGGGCTACTGGGAAAGGCTTAACATTATCAGCACTCCAGTGAGGTAATAATGTTGTGGAGGGTGTAAAAGGAAATAAATACAAAACATTTTAGCCTGAGTTATGGATAAAGTAAATCTAAAGTAAGAGAACTCAGAATCACAGTATATCTTACACATCGCATCAGAAATTTATCAGTCAGCTAAGTAATAAACTCTACTGTGTACAGATTATTCCCTGTAAACCAATCCACTCCCTTTCTTGTGCCAATGTGTGTTAACCTTGAGACAGATGTAGTGACAAAAACTGGTGCATGACCAGCAATGCAGATGACAGAAGGCAGCATCGTATTACCAAAGTTTGAAATATAGTGAGCTATGTAGTCTCCCAAATAAAAGAATGTTCTAGCAGTCATCCATCCCCCAGCAACCATTACAAAAGTATTGAATATCAGATTTTGAAGGAGCCTTAAGCCAATGGAAACCATTCAGTAACTTGTGTCTGAATTAGGACTGACTGCATGTGTTCAGATAAAATTAAAAATCATCATAAACCCAACCGAAACTTTTTTTGAGGTTAAAGAGAGTTTGGAAACTTTTCTTTAACCCTTTCATTCATTTTAGTGGTTCCAGAGGAGACAAGCAGTAACAGGAGAGATCACACTTCCCATGAAGTTTCCAGACCACTTTTAATGACTCAGATGCATAAGATTTGGAAAAGCTTCCAAATTTGAATAATAAAGCAAATATTTCAATGGGTAAAATCTTTGTCTCTTGGATTCTCGCTCATAATTAACCTGATATTAGGAATTTTGTAATATAAGGACAGAGTTCCCTTCATTTTTCACTGTAAGTCACCAATTGGCTGTACAAGTTGCTACTATATATTGGAGACATTTGCATTTACAGGAGAGTTTTGCCTTGCTTGTGAGATTTTTGATCTTGTTTCAAGTCAAGCCAGATATTTTGTTAAATTATTTTTTTTAATTTATAATAGTAAAATTACACCTATCCCATTGTCTTTGGATAGATATGTATTTTATGCATAAATTAATAATAAAATTAAATCACATTAACTGCACCATTGTCAACCAATATTAATATGATCAAAACTCCTTCCTGCTATCAGCTCTCAACAAAGACGCATCCCACCATGTTGATCAGCTAAAAGCCCGAGCTTTACAAAGTGCACTAAAGGTCAAAGAGCCAGTCCTCACCCAGTGTGAATTGTCATCACTCCATGGACCTCAACGGAGTGAGGACAATTCACTCCAGCTGAGGCTCTACCCAAAAGAACTCAAGCTCTGTCAAACCAAGTATGCAAGTTCCAGAGTCTAGAGCCGCCCACTAAAAAAACCCTACTCTGCCACCAAATGATCAAATCTAGGGACTGAGGCCTGGTCTCCACTTAAAATCAGATTGCCTAGCTACATTGCATAGGGCTGTGCAAAATTTTGCACCATGTGTGATGTTGTTAGGTCGATCTAACCCCCAGTGTAGATGCAGCTAGGTTGATAGAAATTTTTTTCCATTGACCTAGCTACCACCTCTTAGGTAGGTGGATTAACTACATAAATGGAAATAAACCCTTTCATTGATGTGGGAAGCATCTGCACTATGGCACTAGAGTGGCATAGCTGCCGTGCCATAGTTGTGCCACTATCAGGGCCGGCTCCAGCTTTTTTGCCGCCTCAAGCTCAATCGTGCAGCTTCATTCTTCGGCGGCATTTCAGCGGCAGGTCCTTCGCTTCCTCACTTCCTCTTCAGCGGCAGCTCAAGGAGTAAGTGAGGGACTTGCCGCCAAATTGCTGCCAAAGACCTGGACATGCTGTCCCTTTCCATTGGCCCTTTCCATTGGCCGGCTCCTGCTTCTTGCGATGGTGCCTGGAGCCGTCCCTGGCCACTATAACTGCTGTAGTGTAGACATACTCTGGGTGAGAGCACATTAGCTACTCTCAACAGTTATTGCTGTAATGTGAATATTTTTACTGACTTCCGTGGGCTTTAGATCAGGCCTATATTAGTGATTAAGAATTGTTACTGAATCACTGCAATTTTGATTGTCACACTGTGGCTACATATGCAGTGATAGACCACAAGCATTTTTATGTCTCCAATACAAATTATAATTTTGTCCTGAGCCACTTGAATAGTTTTTAAGCCCTTAATTTTAAGCAGGAAGGGACCCAATGTGTATATTGCCCCCCTACTGCTCTTTTCCCCTGAGTTAGATGAGGGAAAGGAACCAAAGCCAATTCCAATGTAGCTTTGTGCTTTAGAATGAAATGTACTGGTGGTCCAACATGTAAAATAGGAATTTATCATTAAAAAAAAAAAAACTCCACGTAGCAGAAGAATAATGTTTAGGGGGGGTACAGAGGCAGGAAATTGCTTGTGACAAATGTAAAACATTGATTATTTCTTTTAAAAACGTGTGATGCCAATTTAGTGTTTAAAGCTGCTCAATAGCTGGGATAGAAACTTCTTGTGAAATATATTAGGTGTTTAGAGTCACTTAGTGGCTAGTAAAAACCCTTCTAATGAAACAATCTATTAATTGCTCAGGGCAACTCAAAGCAAAAGTATAAAGTATTTAAATGGCTAGAGATGCTCAGAGGCTTGGTAATCAACTTTTAATAAAGTATATTCTGTATTTAGAGTTGATCAGTGGCTAGGAAAACAACCCTTGCTCAGCAACAGTCATGCAGGCTAATAAAATGCAGCACTGTTCAGTGGCTGTTATGAGGTTTTTAAAGCGATACTAAAATTAGAGATGTTTCAGAGTAGCATCCATGTTAGTCTGTATCCGCAAAAAGAACAGGAGTACTTGTGGCACAATTTGTTAGTCTCTAAGGTGCCACAAGTACTCCTGTTCTTTTTAAAATTAGAGAGACTGTATTAAGCAATGACAGTCAAGGCATAGGGTATTTCTGTAGGATTAAGGACGGGTTGAGAGGAGTTGATGGCCCATGGCTACACTTCAGGCCATTAACCTCAGCTAATCATTAGTTCCCAGGAAATGCCATGCACTGAGGTCATTATTGTTATTGTAAACAGCTAAAAACAAACAAACAAAATCCCTACACAAAGGTGTATGGATTTTTTTTAAAGGTAGAGGCAGTTTTATATTTGTATTTATATTGGTTTTCTATAGAATTATTGCAATACCCTGTAGTTAATAAGATTCCAGGAATGTCTACTTCCCAATCCATTCAGGACACAGATTAGAATCAAAGATACAGTGCAGTGGACATCCCAGTTGGTGCTTGCTTGCCACCTTTAAAGGAGAGAAGAGTGTTAGGACACTTAATATAATCTGGCGTAATTTAATTGAGCCCTGGAACAGCTGCAAGCACAGGTACAGGGTTGAAATGTTACTCCTGTCTAACTTACCCACCTTCCCCTTTTCTGCCCCTCACCCTTTTATGTATAACAGAGCGGCAGCTTCACTATTACATTTTACGTCTAAAGAAATCTTTACCCAGAGTGATGTGTAAGTACTTTACATCATGTATATTGAGATTGCTGTATTCACTGTTGAAATACAGCCACCTCTGGAACGATAGCAGACATTCTGGGCAAACCACATGACACATTCTGGGCAAGCCACAGTGTTTTAGTAGGGAGAAGTAAAGAATAAAAGTTAATTGAAACAACAGGGGAAATTTAGGTAGATAGAATGTAA